CAATCAGCATCAGACTGGTTTGAAGGCACAATTTATTAAGGAGAATAGTAGCCCTCTGAGATATAAGAGACTTATTATGTTTTAGCAGGTGCACACTTAACACCTTTTCACATGATTACAAAATACAGGTTCTCTGCAGAGATCACACACAATAGCCCATCAAACAGCACACTGCAGTTTAATTCAGGGAGGCCCATCATGTGACTGAGCCCTCCAAAATCCCCAGATATGTGAGATTCTATAAACTGCAGGCTGTGAAATGGCAAGAGTTTCCTGTGTTAGTACTTCTATTATAAAGTGTTGTAAAAAGCATTTATCTCCATAACTTACACCAAGCATCTAGAGACAGGAAACCCATTTATAGTAATATGCCTAAGACAGTTTAATATAAGTGAGTTGGATCATCCAATTTGTGTGCAGGATTTACAAGAGAGCAATCTGTCACGGATTACAGATGCATTATGGGTTCTTGTCAAGGTAACAAGACTGGGTGTTAGCAGCTTTCTAGAAAAGGTTGAACTTTCCTTTTCCTGGAGTTAGCTGCCAGTTCCTTACTGGAAGGTACAGTTTCAAACACAAAGGTTAGATCTCATTTCCTCCTGTGGAAACTCAGGTTCATCCTACCCCTGAACCTGTCAGGCCTGCACAAGACCACCCCCGGCCCCTCATTCTGGTTCACTGATCCTTTGTGACAGTGTGGCTAGTGTTTCCTGATTCTTGGAGTAAGGCTCCAACCTGACAGACTTCAAGGCCTGGATGTACATCCTGCCACGAGTCAAACCTTGAAGGATACTGTGACCAAGCAATTTTAAGCATGATTTGTCCTGACACAAAAGTGAATCAAATGGCTACTTGCACATAGGGAAAAAATGCACTGTATAAAAGAAAAGTAAGATGGGATTCAGTGCCAATGCAGTTTACATCTCAACCGTAACATTAATACGGAAACAGGCTCTTATTGCCCATGCATTCAATAACCGCTAAGTTGCTCTAAGGAAGCTGTTGAAGGAACAAGCCGCTGCTTTAAGAGATTCTGCACTTTAAGTGCAGCGTAGACTGTTATTCTCAAATCACCCAAGACACTCGCATCTCACTTTGGGATTTTAGCCTTTGATCAGTTGCCCAAATAATTTTAGAATTCTTACGACACGGGAAAATGAAAGAGCCTGCATTTCTCAATTAACCGTGAATTCTAAGATCAAACTCTAAAAAGAACTGGTCCCTACAATTTATCAAAAACCAACCCTACAAACCAACACACACAGATTCGTCTCATAATTGTCATGCTTTTGGTATAAAACACACGCATGGACAAAAATCGGTGTAATCATACAATAAAACTGACAGAAGCATTAGGTTCCTCTAACACTAAACGTGGCCCGTTTGATACTAAGAGCTAAGGTAAAGATTTATTGAGTATGCAAACATGCTAGTGTCAGAGCTGTGTTACACTAACAATTGTTCCTTTGAGCATGCAGAAAACTGTGCTCAACTATGTAAAGTTATCAGGGTTTTTCTTATGCGTGTACACAAAACAGGATTCAAGAATCATGCTAAGGAACAGCATCTTTACCAATGACTTAACCAAGAGGAATATCGTCCCGCTCGGTGATGTTGTAAGCCCACGGTCAAACACAGTTTCCTAAGCGGGGCACAGAACCATACTTCTGTTACACCGGCAATAAAAAAAAAGTCTCCAAACCTTCTGAAAAATGGATACATAAGGGCTGGACCCTGGCCACTTTTCACAGTTGTACTTAATTGTGGTTAAGTTGGGGCAATTTAAATAGACCCTGACTCTAGGGAGGTTTATTTTAAAAAGAAATCCTCAGTGCGCATGCTCTGAGTTTTCCTACCGCAACAGAAAATGCAAGAGTATAACCACCAACCAAAGAGTCCAGTTCTAGTATGTCGGAGATGTATGCAAGTGCCGTTATGGTTTAAATGATATGGTATGCACACTGTACACTAGTGCTTCCCCGTATCAACCAGAGCATTCGTCAAAATGCCTGCATACAACTCATCTGACAGGGATTTAACAATTTTGTTTCCTACATACACTCCCTCTTTCAAGGAGAAGCTGGCACTTGCTCAGGCAATCCGGACTGTTGGTGAACTCGACCAAGGCTTTCTCTGCCTGGAGCCGTGTTGTGGTGTCTGTAGTTTCATACAGCTGCTTGCACAGGTTCTCTAGCTGGGCTAGGCTCTGTAAGAGATCAACCACAGGAAAGAAGTCAAGAAAAAAAAAAGAAAATTTCTTTTTACATTTTAGTTACAGGGCAGCTCAGCCCCGGAACACACCAACACAGACATTAAAAAAAAAAAAAAAATTTCTTTTTACTTTTTATTTACAGGGCAGCTCAGCCCCGGAACACACCAACACAGACATTAAAAAAAAAAAAAAAATCACATTTCAGCCCTCCAGACTACCACAGAAAACCCTATATTTACTTCTTGAGAAATATTTACCCACCACACAGCCACTGGTTTGTAAGTCAGATCAACTAATACTCAGTTATAACCAGGGGATTTGATAGCAGCTTTCAACTATCTGAAGGGCGGCTGCAAAGAGGAGGGAGCTGGAATGTTCCCAGTGGTGGCAGATGACAGAACAAGATGCAAAGGTCTCCAGCTGCAGCAAGGGATGTTAAGGTTAGATATTAGAAAGAGCTGTCTCACTAGGAGGGTGGTGAAGCATTGGAACAAGTCACCCAAAGAGGTGGTGGAAATCTCCATCCTTGGAGGTTTTTAAGACCTGCCTTGACAAAGCCTTGGCTGGGATGATCTAGCTGGGGCTGGTCCTGCTTTGAGCAGGGGGTGGGACTAGATGTGACCTCCTGAGGTCCCTTCAACCCTCATTTTTTATGGTTCTACGATTCCATGGCATTTGAACTTGACAAGCAATCTTGGTGCCACCATGCGACAGTAACTGTTTTTAGATGGCCAACATTCTTTCTTTCCACCTAATGAAAACTCAAGCCCTCCAATTGCTGAAGCTCCCATTACATCAACCCTTTAGACAAAGACAAAATTCAGGGCTCCCGCTAAGGGACACAATCAGTTTGCGAATACCAGCTGATAGAGGACCACTCGCGCAATCATTTCCCCACCTGTTCTGCTGTCAGACCATGTATATCAAACTCTGTTACACAAAACCCTGTGCTTCAGAGGGAGCACGAATGGTGCCCTTGCTCAACAGGTGGGTACTGTGTAACACTGTTATAGCTTATATTTTTTGTCAAGCAGGCTTGCTGAACTGAACCTGCATCTGAATGGATCTTTTGGGTGACTGTCCCGTCTCTCCCCCCCTCCGTACTTCTTGCTTCCTTGCAAATGAACTTTGATCATGCCTTGCAGAACAAAGTAACCCTGAGCAAAATGGTCCTGAAACCCGAACGTTAGTCAATACATCATGGAAGTTATTTTAAAACATGCTGTTTTCCTCCACTCTCAACACATGCACAATTTCTCCAGGGCATAATGTGCATTTTGTGCACTGGAAACATTTCCAAAAGATATTTTTTAAAGTTAAATTTTCAACTTGCTTTTAATTCTTTAAGTTTTAGGCAAGTGTTTGGAGCTGGGACTGGAGAATTAGGAAGACAGAACCTGAAATAAAGGGATCTCATTAGGAGAGAGAAGAATCAACAGGCCTGGGGGAAGAGAACTGGAAGGGCTATGAGGTGGGAAGACAAGATAATATGGGAGAAGACCTGGTTATCTGAGCAACCTTACACGAGCAGGAGGTTGCAAAGGACCTCTGAAAACACACCGAGTCGGGTACAAAAATGTAGTCTCCAGCTCCATTATGAAAAAAACCCGTAAGTATATATCTTATTCTTGCCCAGCACATGTTACTAGGCTGCCTTAAGTGGAGGCACATGCCTTGTAAAAAAAGAGAAATACACAAATGCTAAAAAAAAATACTGGCTTCTAAAAAATGATAGTATATTCTTCACTGCCTTAAATAAGACCAAATTCCATCAGTTTCATTGCTTTAAAATCTCAGTGGCATTTCTGCACATTTACATGCGAGCTGTCATCTCTGACAAACCACCGCCAATAAAAAGCTCCTACCATTTTTGAGTCTTCAGTCTTGAGCAATTAGAAATGAAAGGAGACCCCAGCAGAAGAAACTGAAGAAAACCAGCAACAAACTGCTCACACGGATCACCACAGGGACTAAAGGCTCGAGAAGGAAAATCTGGAGGTCCTATTCCAAGCACCTTTCTGTAGCCTTTGGCACCGTTTTCCCCCCCAATCCCTTGCTTTCAGAGATTTAACACTATCAGATCTGACATTACTACATGTTACACAACTGTACCTCTACTGCTGTAAACATGCATCTTGGGGGGGGGGGGGGG